GATGAAAACTAACAATAAGCCTGAATATTTCCTCCAGCTCCGCTCTGATAGAAGTAAAGATGTCTGCTTAAGCTGGACAATATTAAATATTTAAAAATATTCACAGATAACTCATCTTTTAATGAAAAATTAATATTAATTATATAAATATATCATATTGGTTTTATTAATTTCTAGGTTTGGATGTCTGTGAACCTTACAGCAGCTTCTGATTGGTGAAAAGAACATGTGATGTTACTAATAACAGGTCAGGGTCTAAAGTGGGTCGGGCTGAGGTATAAAACTCTGCCCTGGGCCTAAAGCCCTGCAGATGTATTTTGTTTCTATGAACACCAACAACAAGTAAATAACAGCAGCTGATTGTGCTTTGTTCCTTACACTGTCATGAGAGGAGTCCGCCAGACTCGTCCTCTGTCTGTTCTACAGCATCGGCAGGCTAGAGAGGAGTTCTGCACCAAGGGCGTGGGAACGAGTTTAATACTTGGAAATCTAACTGTTGTAGGTCTATATATAGGTCAATCTCGCTCAAAAAATACATTTAATGATTATTTCTGATTCTAACGTGTCACTGAGTGTTTCATGCAGGCTGGACATGAACATAGTCTCCTACCGCTATCTCCTGCATTAGCTTCTGATAGAAAATCTGATAGACGGTGAAACTCTAGGATTAGAAAAGTCTGACAGATGTGACTCTGGGCGTAAGGCAAAGCCCAGAAAGACAAGAAAATAACTTTTATAGCCCAGTTCACTAACATTCAGTTTTTTTTTTTTATCGGGACCCATGAGCCAGCCAGAAGGGGAGGAGACTTAGGCTCCCCATTAGCCAGATCCAGGTGATTACCGGCTAACGTGGACGTTTTAATAATAAAAAAGCTGTTTATGTGTTAGTACTGTTTTATTTTTATTTAATAGTATGAATGTAGGATATATTATCTTATTCATATGGGTAGAGATGTGTAAACAGATTTAATACAAGACTAAAGCTGTGAATATTCAGTCTGAACTGATCTGACTCTGATCAGAATATTTTAAACTACATCAGCCAACAATGCTGACCAACAATCAGAAAAATCTGTTTGTTTCTGACAGAATGAAAAAAGAAATAATTCACTTACAACAACAGCTGGAACTACATTAATTTTCAGATGGACAAAAGAAAAAACAGTGGCCACAATTGGAGTCTAAATGCACCAGAAAGCAGAGTTTAACACTTATTTTTCTAATATTTCTAAGGAAGTGTGTACAGAATGTATTTTATTCTTAAGCCGTACTGCCCAGCCCTACTTGTAATGGGATTACATATATTTAACTGTGTTCACTTATTATCACATTCAAATCTTCCTCTCATCAGCAACCTAAAATCATCTCATTCTTCACTGTAGCACCTCAGCTGGTCTGGCTCTCCTTGTCTCACCCTCAGCAGGTCTGGCTCTCCCTGTCTCACCCTCAGCAGGTCTGGCTCTCCCTGTCTCACCCTCAGCAGGTCTGGCTCTCCCTGTCTCACCCTCAGCAGGTCTGGCTCTCACTGTCTCACCCTCAGCAGGTCTGGCTCTTCCTGTCTAACCCTCAGCTGGTCTGGCTCTCCCTGTCTAACCCTCAGCAGGTCTGGCTCTCCCTGACTCACCCTCAGCAGGTCCGGCTCTCCCTGTCTCACCCTCAGCAGGTCTTCCTCTCCCTGTCTCACCCTCAGCAGGTCTGGCTCTCACTGTCTCACCCTCAGCAGGTCTGGCTCTCCCTGTCTAACCCTCAGCTGGTCTGGCTCTCCCTGCCTCACCCTCAGCTGGTCCGGCTCTCCCTGCCTCACCCTCAGCTGGTCCGGCTCTCCCTGTCTCACCCTCAGCAGGTCTGGCTCTCCCTGTCTCACCCTCAGCAGGTCTGGCTCTCCCTGTCTAACCCTCAGCAGGTCTGGCTCTCCCTGACTCACCCTCAGCAGGTCTGACTCTCCCTGACTCACCCTCAGCTGGTCCGGCTCTCCTTGTCTCACCCTCAGCAGGTCCGGCTCTCCCTGTCTCACCCTCAGCAGGTCTTCCTCTCCCTGTCTCACCCTCAGCTGGTCTGGCTCTCCCTGACTCACCCTCAGCAGGTCTTCCTCTCCCTGTCTCACCCTCAACTGGTCCGGCTCTCCCTGACTCACCCTCAGCTGGTCCGGCTCTCCCTGTCTCACCCTCAGCAGGTCCGGCTCTCCCTGTCTCACCCTCAGCAGGTCTGGCTCTCCCTGTCTCACCCTCAGCAGGTCCGGCTCTCCCTGACTCACCCTCAGCAGGTCTGGCTCTCCCTGACTCACCCTCAGCTGGTCTGGCTCTCCCTGACTCACCCTCAGCTGGTCTGGCTCTCCCTGACTCACCCTCAGCTGGTCTGGCTCTCCCTGACTCACCCTCAGCTGGTCTGGCACTGCCTGTCTCACCTTCTTCATCATTTTCCTGCTGACCTTCCTCTTTTCTCTTATATGAATAAAGTGACATGAATAAGGTTAAAATGAAATGTGATGAGAATGTCACAAACAAGCAACAATCACACTTACAAAGTCCATTTTTATGTGGAGATTCTACTTTTTTATTTATTTCGTGGCAAATGGTTTTTGTCCGTTACTGTCAAATTCGCCATTTTTTGTTGACTAGTAGTGTTGTTTAATGTTTAACGCTAACTAGCAAGATGTTTACGTTAGTCAGCCAGTCTAGCATTTGACCAGAAATACAATTATCCTCTTGGACTAAATCATTACCAATTCCCATTTCCTTTCTTTCTTTTTTTTGCCCATGAGATGAACTCGCTGAGCTGCTGTCGTCCCGGCTCCGACTCCCGCTTCACTCAACCAGCCTGTCTGACTCCCTGAGGGGAGGGGCTGTGTCGGTGAGAAGTCTGCGGTGTATTTCAAAATAAAAACTTGCAAGTCAAATATTTCAAAATCAAATTTTTTCTTCTCCATGTTATTGGGGGGGGGGGGGGGGGGGCAACAAATGTGCGTTTGTCCAATATTGAAGGGGACACGTCCCACCCATTCCCCCCCCCCCCCCCCCCCCCCCCCCCCGGTTCCTACGCCCTTGTTCTGCACGATCACACGTTCAACCGCGAGCTCTGCCAGCTGATTGGGTCTTTGGTTACTATTGACATCAGTTCAGTTCTGGTGCTGAGCAGCTTGGATGCATCAGTGGAGTTTGCTGTAGTCAGTGATCAAAATGGATTAAAGACGGGACCGGATATTATTATTAACTCAAATATATCATTATAACACAGATACTTTATTATACCTACCAGCCTGTAACGCTACTTTTTTTCTCAAATTGCACCAGACATGCTTTTAAATATAAAATCAACAAAATTTCCTTCACCTCCAGACGGCCAAATTCCTGAGGAAAATTTAAAAAGGGACCTGCCACCTGGCACAATGAGACTTTTTTTTTTTTTTGCTGGCACGAGATAGTGGCCATGTGTCATAGAGGCCCAAAATCATCATATCAGGGTGACGTCGGGGTAATCATCTTTAAAAGCCCCAAGAACATTTTTTAATATAGCTTTTTATCAAATTATTCCAAATATAATCCTTTACTTTCTACCAATTCTGCCTTTTCCAGGATCCACTGATTACCTTTCTTAATCTTTATTTTTTTCACTTTTATCACATTTTTCAATCACATTTTTTTTATCCTTCATTCATATTTTTAATCATTGTTTAGAATCTTTTTATTTTCTTGTGAAGCGTCTCGTGATTTTTATCTTGAAAGTTGCTATATAAAAGAGTTTTCTTTCTTTAATTGTTTTTGCTGTTTGTTTGATGAGAAGTAGAAAAAGGGGACAACAGAAAATGTTTGCCTCCTGCCTTTCAGATCCTAAGCAAACTGAAGACTTTTAATTTTAATTGCCCCTTGGGGATAAATAAAGTTTTTCTGATTCTGATTCTGACTTAGAAAATATGTCCTAAACTTTTGCTGTGTTTTGGACTAGAAATGGAAAATAAATTCAGAAAAACCATACAACCAAAACAAAAAATAATCCTGTGCCTTTCTGGGCTTCCATACCAATTATATGACAATGTGGAGGAGTTTGGATGAGTTTGGATGATTGTACAAATGTAACAAATGCACAAATCAGTTCCTTCTGTATCGACATTCCACGTGTTCAAGCAATCATCTGGATCGCACATAGAGCTGCTGAAGCAGAACACATTTTATCTTTTAAGGACTGTTTTGAGCTTAGGAATTTTAAGCTTCCATTGAAGCATAATAAAAACATTTTTTGTGGGGATGTGCATAAAGCTAGGTTATTACTGAAAATGTGAAAAAGGGAACAGGATTGTTTCGGCGCTGGTTTAAACGAGGACAGAAATATCTGCCACATGTGGACCAGATGCCTTCACAAAGATTTAAGAAATCTGATCTTCTAGATGTTTCAGCCAAATTTTCAGCACTTAAGGGTTTTAAAGGTGTGGTTTACTCATTTATTCAATACATTTGTAATGTTCTCTAGTGTAAACCAATGCCTCATGGGTCATTTAAAAAAAAAGCTATGATGCTCCCCTTTCTAAGTTGCAGAAGTTGGTACAGAGGTGGGCAGAAAACAGCAGAATTGCTCATTTTTATAAATGATATTATGCACACACCTCGCTTCTGATTGGCTAGCAGAATACGTTCAGCCATGTTACAAAGTCACTACCACAAAGACACTCTCTGCTCTCTCTCCTCGCTGCAAAATGTTTTTGAAAAGCCTTCCTGTGGGCAGGCACGAGCAGAGATGGGCGGGGCTATGAATGCAAATACACACAGTGTGACATAGATATGTGAGGATTTTCAGATCCTAGCATTTCAGTCTATTTTCTGTTGGAAGCTAACACAGGAGATGGCTGTAAGAGACTATTTTCATGTTCAGCATGCATGACGAAATCAGAAATAATAATAAAGCAAGGTTTTTTTCAGTCAACCACACCTTTAAATACTGTTTGTTGTTCATGAAGGTAAATGAAGATGATGAAGGTAGGGCCAATGCTTGGACCCTCTTCAGGTTACCTTTAAGGCCATCGAGTGGGTCGTAACATCCCTCTTCATCGCTGACAAAGAATCTGTCACAGTCCAGGAAGTAGGGCCAAGCCATGTCAATCCCATCGAAGGCATGCATGCATTTTTTGTGCACCTCTTCACAAGAGCTGCGACAGGGCCTCAGCGCCGCGCCCCTCTCACAGCGCGGGGTCAGAACAGAGCAGCCTAGCATGCGTACCTCTGGGTTACACTGTCCTCTCAGCAGGGATTCCACCACGCTCAGGAGGAGGTACTCCACGCTGGTCTCTGCGTCGTTACTGGTTTTGTGTCCCACAGTGTTTGGGAACATGGTCTGGGTGTAGGCCATGTCATCGCAGTAGGACAGGAGCAGATCGGTACATTTGGCTAAAACTGCGAAAAGATAGATTTGCCAGAATTTAAACAATGTTGAGCCAAAAATAAAAGATTTGTAACCGTTTTAATGTAAATTTACTGCACAAGAGTAAAGCTCTTTGAACGTTTTGTGTTTTTTGACAGATTTTTCTCTGTTTTTCCACAGAACTTGACTCAACTATTACAGCATATTATTTAATTTTTGCCAAACAAAGAGGAGAATTAACAAGTGTCAGACCTAAAAGACTCTACAGCAAATGAATGGGATGTGAAAACCATGTAGCCTATAACAAGCAGGAGCATCTTTAAAAGATCCATCAAATTACTGAACCAAGATCAGAGATGTACCATCCTTTGGATGACTATCTACTTTTTGACAAGTTTTTAGCTAACAACGCTTATTGGTGCTGAAAAACAATTGTTTGTGTCAAACTGTGTTATGATAAATGACCCGCACTTGTATAGCACCTTTCAGAGTCAGAGGACTCCAAAGTGCTTTTCACTACAGTGCATCATTCATCCATTCACATGCTCATTCACACCCTGGTGGTGATGAGCTACGATGTAGCCACAGCTGCCCTGGGCAAAGTTTCGGAGCATAGGCACCACTGGTCAGGAGGCAGGAAGGGTTACGTGTCTCGCTCAAGGACACTACAGCAGAATTCTCTGTCAGGAGCTGGGACCGAACTTGCAACCTTCCGATTACTGGACAACCCACCCTACCTCCTGGTTTACTGCTGTCCCAGGTATTGTTCCAGAATCCAACTACATTGAGGATAGCTGTTCACTAACTAACAAAGCTACTAGCTAGCAATTTTCTAGCTAGCAATGTTGCTTACTATCGGTGATTGGCACAAACACTTGGTCGCCAGCCAGGAAATTACTAGTGACAGCAGTAACTCAGGAGGTAGAGCAGATGGTCTGGTAACCAGAAGGTTGCTGGTTCGATCTTGACTCTGACCAGAGAATGCTGCTGTTGTCCTTGGGCAAGACACTTAACCCACCTTGCCTGCTGGTGGTGGTCGGAGGGGCCAATATAGCCAGTGTTCAGCAGGCCTCGCCTCCATCAGTGCGCCCCAGGTCAGCTGTGGCTACATTGTAGCTCATCATCACCAGCATGTGAATGTGTGAATCACTGGCTGTGTTGTAAAGCATCTTGGGGGGGTTGTAGAACCCTAAGAAGGCACTATACAAATACAGGCCATTTATTTATGTAGCTATCTTGTACTTTTCATTGTTACTAGTTAGTTTACAAGACAGTCTAGCTCTTTAGAATCCAAAGATAGAGACGAAAAGATGGATCAAGACTTTTGCATCGGGCCATCTGTAGTTGTCACAGCACTTAATCACGAGCTTCACCCAGCCATCCTCAGTCATCTGGTTCTAAATGTTTCCATTATCTGTGGAAATTAGGATCTGAATGTTTCATGCTGCCATCGATCATCTAAAAATAGTCAAACTGCTTCTTGGTTGGCCAGGTTCCATTTCTACTGTAACATATGATTTTCTCCCAAATGTTGGGACAACAATTGATGACGAAGAGGAGGCCTTTGGGGCCTGATCTCCTGTCACACATGGTTTTAGGCTCTGAAGTCCATAAAGCTCTGATTTTAAAAAAAGTCCAGACATGCGGGAAGGTTATGAGTGGGAGATGACAAACAGCCCATGCATGACACACTTCTTCCTCTAACCCACGGGTACTCACATTTCTCTTCCACCGTTGGCTTGCACAGTCCTGCAACACACATCAGTGTGTTATTATGGGCACTAGATGGCAGTATAGTTCCTGTAAATGACTCAATGTGGAAGCGTACCCTTTTTAGAAAAGCTTGTGGAATAAAGTTAGAATCACTTTCTTTACAGAATTATAAATCTCATGCATTCATATTCATCTAGAAACGACTTTTGGTATCGTTTAGCATGGCACGTGTCAGCAGATATTCACCATGTTAATCACAAATAAGACTTTAGGTTCCTAATTTAATTCCCTTTGTTGTACGTGAAGAATTATCTGCAGCATTCCAATGAAGACATGCTTCATGTTTGCAGCTTTGGATACAAACTAAAGACTTCTGCACATAAATGCATCAAAAGTAAAAAAGCGTACCTCTTCTTTGTGGGTCGCATTGTGGCAGGGAGGACACAGAGACCAACAGCTGCATCAGGACCAGCAGCATTTTGATTCTGTTTCGATCAGGCGCTGTACACACACTCAGCCAGAGGGAGTGTTTTAGAGTGTGTACACTTCTCAAGATGCCTGAAATTCCAAGTGAACGTTAATACAAACATTACACTGAAAGATCGAGTTACAGAAGTGAAGTGGGGACATGAGCGCAACAGGACTGCTGATTTGACTGAATGCCACATGGTTTTAATTTTATGCTGAGCTCTAATTTCACAGGATGGGAAACGCTGATCTGCTTTCAGTGAAATTATGTGGTACTTTGTGTATAGTCGCTTTCTCACATTACATTCCTATGTCTAGTTCCTATCATCAGCTGCCAGGGATTCAGCACACCCTTGTGGTAGATCAATGATATTGCAACATAACAGTAACAAACAAGCGGCAGCAGTGAACACACACGCTGAAAAGGTTAACATATTTTTAAATCACTTTCTTGAGCCAATATGTGCTAAAATGACCCTTTGCAGGGTTCATGAAAATTCACTCAGACCCCTACCACCTACTGTCGCCACAATGTCATACTTGCAACTTCAGAGTGCTGGTCCAGTCCCTTCTGGACTTAGAAAGAAATGGAGCTGGAGTCTGCTTTTGGCATGTTTTACATCATGAACACAGCTGATTTGTTTGATTTAATGATGAACCTCTCCTCTAGAAACTAATGAAGGCTGAGGAGAGATTTCAGCTGTTAGATAAACATGTTACAAAGACGAACGCTCAGCAAGGAGAAAAGTTTCACTTTTGGTTCTACTAAAGAGACATTAGGGGGCGCTAAAAGCAAGCCAAAACTCCCTAGTATTGTTTTAATGCATACAAATATTTTATCCTGTATTTTTATTAGAGGGAGGCGTCATGATGACATAGGGAATTAATGCCGGACTCTGGCCAGCAACTACATTGAAAATGAAAGTAAAAATGGGCCGTAAAATTTGCTTTTTGAACAAAATCAGCAGAGATGGCAAACCGGAGCGCTGCAGCAAGTTATGTCCAAGATTTACGGAAGTCCGCGGTAGCGCAAGGCCTGCCCCCATACCACCTTTATACCACCATTGCCTAATCTTTTATAATAAGGACACAATCTACGGCTTCCTGATGCCGCCACAGCGTTGCAGAAAATTGACAGCTTCTGTGACTTCATGGTAGAAGAGGACAGAAATTAAAGTAACTGCAAAAACTGATTTTGTCACTTATTTATTTATTTTAGCATCATAGCACAAATCACTTATAATAGCTGTTTAAAACTTCTGCCACTGATTACTTCAATAGTTCAAGAATAATGTACGGCAGTGGTTCCCAATCTGGGGGTCCCGACCCCCACAAGGGGGCGCCAAAGCCTCTCAGTGGGTCGCCTGGACCTCTCCACTTTAAGGGGTTAAAACTTCATTTATTACTTGTTTATAGCCTACATTTTGCTCACTTTTTTTTTCATGAGTGAAGTTTACTGATATTAAGACAGGAAATAATTAGTACAGAAAGAGTAACACACTTTTAAGAACATTTTGCTCAGCTCACTGTTTTACTTTCAACTGTCAAAAGTTCATTAAAGATAGGACTGGTTGATTAATAACAGCCTTTACAGTAAAAAATCTAGTATAAACAGTAATATACACATTTAAGTACATTTTGCTCAGTGTATTTTTTATGTGTCAAACATTTATTGAAAGGAATGATTGATTTATCCGTGTTTACAAGAAACAATGTGTTCAGAAAAGTAATACAAACTGTCAAGCACATTATGCTCTGTTTGGTTTTGTTAATGACTTTGTTCTGTACTGAAGCCTACTATTACTGTTATCTATTGAATCAAAGCATATTAAAATGTGCTTGAACAATTTCATCATTTCTTAATAATGTTTGTACTGGAAGAGAGAATGGGAGGGGGTCATCAAAAGTTTTACTGGTAAAAAACGGGGTCCCCTGGGAAAAAGGTTGGGAACCACTGATGTACGGGATTGTTTTTACACCATTTAACCTGTTGAAGCGAATGCGTTATTTAATTGACGTCTGTGTTTCATTAAAACAGGCTAATCATTGCTGCCATAATAAAGTCTCCTCCAGGCTATTAGTGATTTTTACTAGGTTGTAGGTGGCTAGGTTGTGAAAAGTGAAATGAACCGCTGCAAAAGTTATGTTCTCCTGAACATGGTGCATCTTTTTAATCTTGTCTGTACCTGCAACATTTAATCATCAGATTACTGTGGCAGGGAGGTGTGACATGTTACAACAGGACAAACTGATCTTAGGGTTCAGATAGACTTAAAGGGCATTTAAATGGTTTTCTTTGGATCATGTGGGAGCTGCAGTAATATACAAATCAAGTTTGGAGAGTGGGGGAACAGATTCACCACAAAGATGTTCATGAGACGGTGCTAAACTTCTTTTTTTTTTTCTCAGCTGCCCCGATTTTACACCCGCTGAAGTTTCTTCAGCATAAACTTTACGTCCTACGCTCATATGCTGGAAAATCCCACAGACCATCACACGCCTAATTTATCGCTTTTTTCAAGTGAGAATGTGTGTCTAATTATAAGTCTCAAAGCTGATCACAGATCTTAATTAGAATAATGAGAAGAGTGAATATTCATCGAGCAAAGAGGCTAGCCAGGCAGGCCGATGTTGGAGCAGAGTTAAAGTAAAAACACCTCCCTCAGCTAAAGCAGGGAAAAACTGAGATCCTTGTCATGTTCGTGTTTTATGTAAATTACTGCAGAAACTTATTGGAAAGGAGATCTGATGGGAGTTGGCCCTCTGTGGGAAGCATGAATGTACTTGCAAAATGTGTTTGCGAGCACATGTGAGGAGTGACGTGAAAAAAAAGGTGTTGATCTGAGGGAAAGGCTGAGTCATGGTTTGCTAGTTTAGGATCAGCATGTGAGGGCATATGCACAGCTGAAGAAGCTGAATGAAGTCAGAGGAGTGTTTGTGCATCTGAAGTTACAGAAGCTTTTTGTTGGATAAAGTAGTTTACACACTAAAAAAAGAAACCGTTGAAATTTACTCTAAAAATGTTGGTGAAAATGAAGCAGTTTTATCTGGACTCTGTTAATACTTTTGGACTAGTACAACCTTTTTTCAGAGTTGACTGATAAAGGTTGACTCCAACCCTAACCCTGATTTTAACTTTTACAATAATTCTTATTGTTTATTTTCTGATGAGTAGGACCTAAATCATAAAAATGGAACAATGTTTTTGAATAAATGATCTTTTAAAATTTGTTTAACTAAACTAGACAAATAAAAGCAAAGTTCCCAAGTAAAAATAAGTCTTAAGTTGAAGAGAATAACATAGTACAGTGTTTCTCAACCCTGGTCCAGGGGTCCTAGATCTTTTCCATGTTGCCCTTTCTAACACCAGTGTTTCCCTGCCGCCACACACCTGACTTAAATGAATGAGTGATTAACAGGTATCTGCAGCACTTGGTGTCCTCCTGTTGAGGCAGTATGAATCAGGTGTGCCAAAGCAGAGATATGGAAAACATGCAGGTCAGTGTGTCCTGAGGACCAGGGCTGAGAAACACTGATATACTGCAAGAAGCCAAAATCCTCATTTAAAGCTGTTGTACTGAATCTGCAAACAAGCTAGGTTTTGATCGCCAACACGAACATGGAACACTCACCCATCCCCTTGGGTGTCCTCCCTGTGGGGCTTCTACCAGAACCGGAAACCTGCGATGCCAGAGGAAATGAAATGGCACTAAAAACCAGTCACCATTTTATAGAACCATACATCTTTTGTTGTCCGTGACTTCAGATGGTGTTTTTCTTTTTTGGGACTCTGGTAGTTTGTTCTAAAGTAGAAGTGGTAGCAGCCGGCTGTTTCTCCTTCTCTGGTGTTATTGAGCAGAGAACCTCTCACACCAGTGTAGGGTTTGGTAAACTGAGTGCTTTAAGAGCTCAAGATACATATTACCTCTACTTATGACTGTGATACTCTATTTACACATAAAATATCAACCCTGCTTGGTCTTTATTGTATTTATCAGAAGATCTAGGAATTTCGCTTTATTAAGTAATTGTAAACACTTCATTTTGATTCAGAAAAGAGTCAGGTTTATAAAAGTCAGAATTTATTTTACAAACAATTAAAACATGACAGGTTAACTAAGCATTTACTGTGATGGATGGAACTACAGGTGATGCATGAAACCTATGCGTGAATGCTGTGTTAGTCAGAACCTCCTTTGCTAGGAGAGCTGAGTTCTGGATGTAAAAGAATTTGGTTTGCATTAAGCTATGAAGTTGGTTGTTATCAAAACACATCAGACGCAATCTGTCATGTCTACTTCACCCATTCTCGGAGACTCTCATGATAGATCCGGAATGTCGAAGTCCTCGAACTTCCAGGCGCCGAGGTCCGTAGAAGAAACCGCGGCCCCACGAAACCGGTCTTAGAGTTGTCTCCAGGTCACAACAGCGGATGGAACCGAGCACCTGGGACTCTTTAAAGAGTCTAAGCAATATCAGCTTGTTTGCAGGAACTGTTGCGGTATCAGCTTTGCAGGTGCAAAAAGGTTTTGACGACATGTCAAAATCTTTGATGGGTTAAAGAGGTTTTGCTATAGATGGCCGGTCTGAAGCTTTCTCTAGAACTACCGAATTACCCAGAGTGATCCAGTTTTAAGGTTCTGATGTTATGATTTGCATAGGCAATCAAAGGCTGACAGGTTTGAGAAATGTTACCAAGAATCTCAGAACACACCTTCTTTGATACCGGATGTTCTGACTGGGGTAGAAGACTATTTATGTGTCAGAGTTTAACGTAACCTTACTTGTTATGGTGTGAGAGCAAATGGTGTTGACCTTTGCCATATAAACATGCTGAAACACATCGCAGCCATTGTAGACATAACATTCATTTCATGCTTCAATCATTGAGCACAGATTCATGAAGCATTTAATTATAATGTAATTATTATAAGTAGCAATAAACAAACATTTATTTAATGATTATCTAGATTATAAGTGGTGGAAGAAGTTCATGTTTGATATAGGAAATCATTCTTGATTTAGCAACTGATCCGAGCTGCGAGTGTTCCTTATATGGAGGCATGGCCTGAAAGGTTGGACCTTGGGGAGAGAAAGTTATTGTTGACATCCCGTTATCTGTTCAGAGCTGCAGGCTCTGAGTTCCAGCTGGGGCAGGCTCATTTAAAGGGAGCACATGCAGTCTTGTTTCTCCTTTTTGACCAGATGTTGAATAGATGTTGAATGGTCAATCTGGACCTGAAACTGACCATTGCTGGAAGTTACACCAGTGGCGGTCTGTTGCTAAATACAGGAGTGTGTAATGAATGGAGGAGCAAGGGAAGTGCAGCAGTTTGGTGAGACCGACGACCGATTCTGTTAGCTTTTGTAGGCTTATACTACATACTAGAATCAACACTGTTGTTATTCAGTTGTAGATTCTGAGAATGACCAAGCAGATTAATCTATGAAGCTTACATCATGTATAAATATCCAGGATACTTATATAATCGAGGTAAGTTCATACACCCACCTGTTTGGTCTATTTTTAATCCAAAGTTTAATGTTTAATTTAAGACAATTAAATTTAATAGCAAAAGTTTATTTTTGAATCAGAAGTTAGGA